AGAGAGAGAGAGAGAGAGACTTGACTAAGAATTGTTGACCTACAAACATATATTATTTATCTAATATTACGTGCGTCACATAATTGCCACGTAGAAACAGATCAAACATTCGATCATCATCATCAGCATATCAATTACTTGGTCGAGTTTATGTGTGCGTACATGTGGAGTTGGTGAGAAAAATTTCTGAAACGTTTCTCTTGCTAGTATAGTCACCAAGGAATGTCAAGATTCGTGTGAAATAGCATCTGACGGCGAAAGATCGCCTAAACATGGAGTAGAAGAGAGATCATGTTATTATTTAGAATCACGATGAAAAATGTTTTTAAAATACTTTTTCTTTAACAAATAGGGATGATTTTAGCGTCGGACCGAACTGGAATCGTATTGTTAGAACGCTCTCGCTCTCTCGTCGTCAGTCTCGCTTGTTCGTTTTCTTCCGCTGGATTGTGGTTTTGACGCCTTCTTTCAGGTGGAGTCGCTATCAATCCACGATGACTATGGTTTCCTCGTAAGAGGTGGCTTTGTGGCTCGTGGTGTTCGTCTTGGTCACCCTTTCCCTTCGTGCCCTGTTTTGATACGAGGGATTTCAGAGCATGGAATTAGTTGGTTGATGGCGTTGATTTTTTGTGCCTTGTTTCTTGTCTGGTTTTGGTTTGTCGCTGTTAGAATCCAGCTTGAGGTTATGCTTTCGAATTTTTGGAAATTTTAGAAATCAGCTATCGCATTTCACGGGGTCATCTTTCCGCTCGTTTTCACTGGAATCAGATGATCCTTTGTTTGTTGTTCTTTTGTTCGAGGTTAATGCTACTAAGTTATCAAATAGCATTTCCTTGCTCTATTTCAGTTTTACAGCTTATTTGGAAGAAGGCAACTATATGCATAGAGCATAAGAGGAGGAAAACTATTGCTGAGAGTTTTGGAGAAGAAGAGCTCTAAGAGGTCAGGTGGAGAAGAGTGGTAGCTTTGGAAGGAATCCATGCTAAGTGATGGTGGTGCTGGTGGAATGGAGCAGAAGATGCCAGAGTCAAGACTTCCAACCCAATTATGATACCGGTCATCATCATGTCTTTGAAAATGATTTGAGCCATCCATATGGTAGGGCGAAGATACAAGGATTTGAAGTATCACCGGAGAGACATGTGCACAGGGCATTGGATCCCTCCACCATTAGCATTGAGATCTCCCAGTCAGTGGACATTCTGGAGTGCAAGGTGGGCAGCACAAGGATTGCTATCTCTGAGGGGTATCTTGAGATTGGTTGAGTGTCTGACTCTAAAACAACTTGCTTGCCAAAGAGCGAGAGTTAACGAGAGCAGTGCAGGTTATCTTATTACGGCTTTTAGTTCATTCCTGTTCTAGTATGCTAAATTTATTTATTTGAATTCTTTGATAATTGGTGATTATGAATGACTGTGATTAGTAGGACTTGTATGACTAGTCGAAGAATTCATTTGCTTCTAGAACAAATTTTTGTAATAGACCTGCTATAGAGCTTTCATTTGTCTTAAGAAACCATTAGAAGTGCTCTATCCCAGTGCCCACCAATAATTTGCTTCCTGTCACCAACAAGGAATCATGCTGCACATGTCAGCATTTAGTTGATACTTACCAGTTTTGAGTGCTCTTGGGGTTCATGACCATGACCATTAGAAGTGCTCTATCCCAGTGCCCACCAATAATTCACCCTGCTATTTCAGAAGAACCTGTAGGTGAATTTAGCATGTAGGTAGCCTCTGCTCTCACCACAAGTTTAAGTAATATACAGACCAAGGATTTAAATAGCAGTCCAATATTGGTCTCTAGGATCTATTGGTTGAGATGTTACCAATATACTATGGTGGTATATCAACTTGCATCTCTCGATATACGGTTACACCTATTACTCTTTCACAGCACTTAAAACCTGTAGAACTCCTACAGGTACTAGGTGGACTAACAGATGTGAATAGAAAACTTGGTGTTAAAATGAGGAAGCCACTGAACAAATTCACGGTGCATGACTGTTTGTACCACTGACAGTCAACCATTTTTTGTTAGTATTTTTGGATATTATGTTCAAATTGAAGCCATGGAGAATTTGCAACTTTCCCTGTTTCATAATGCTGGGAGTACCTCCTAATACAAGGAGAAAAAGAGAAACTCCAATATTAAACAAGAAAGATTGTCATATCTGAGCCAAGTTCTTCTCATGAGCCACCACTAAAATTTTATTTGTTGTAGCTGCAACAAACTCCTTGTGTTTTATGCATCTATCTGGAAGAAACGCTTACAAAATATAAAAAAATAGGGTTCAAATTAATGAACATTAGTGATATGACAATAAGGATTGGCCAAAAGCAAAATAAAAACTTTAATTTTATTTTCCTATAGGAAGTATGATTGTGTATATATCAAATAATATTAGTAAGCAAATGATGCAGGTGCTCTCATTGTGCTGGGATTTGGTATTGGTTTTCGGCTTGCACTAGAATGCTGTAGAAAGTGGAGAAATCAGTAGATGACAAATGCAAATATCAATCCTGGGTACCAAGTTGCAGTATAGATTACCTTGTATGTAGTTTTGAGCAATAATACAGAAAGTCTCTTGTAGAGTACATAAATAATTCACTTTTTGCCTCATTTACCTGTACCATTTAAGAAGGTTTGTTGGTAAATGATCGATTGAATGACTAGTGTTGTTTTTTCATCATATCATTGTTTGTAACTACCATTTGCATTTTGGAAACTCCAGATTTTCTGCAAACATGTTTTTTTATGCCACTATGTTGCTATGGTTTATCATTCTTTTAACTGCAATATTTTTAACTTCATTTATTTATATTTTATCTATTCTTTTAGTATGTCATACAATTAGTATGTATCTGATAGATACACTGACTAAGAAGAAAATTAGCATAATCTATTTGCAGGAAACTAAGTGGACAGAAAAAAAATTAAGAAAATTGACAGCATTGGATATGTATTATTGTAGATAAGGAAATTATGTTGAAACAAAACCAATTGCTTTTCGAAAGCCATTCAAAGGTTAGATCCACTAATTTTTCCAAAGAGCTGCTTCTGTATCAATGATTATTTGTTAATAATGGCTCAGCATCATTTTGGTAGCTTGCACAAAAATATGTGAAAGATAATGTACATACTGAAGAAAGTTTTGCATTGATATTATTACTCGTTTGCAATTGTTTCTCAGGAAAATTTCAGCATCCCAGGTAACACTTTAACTATTTGCCACTTGAAACAGTTCATATTTCAGAATCATTTCAAGTGCTGATATTGCTACTATGGATTTTTCAGAAATGCATGAAAAGAATTTGTCATATTCACTTAAATACACCTCTGAGGGAGAGTTACAGCATAATCTTCTTTTTGTTTCCTTTATTGGTGAGAAGACGCAAGATTACTGGTGCTATCTGATTTATTAATCTATTAATTATGCTCTGTTGATTGCCATATGCCCAAAATTGCTCATGTCGAAGTATCAGGGAGTTACATATATTTGCAGATCATATGGCTGATAGATTGCATTATTATTACCGATGCGGGGCACATATGAAGTATGTAGAGTTCGTTAAGGAATGTGTTTATTGCAAGTTATTCCCAGTACTAAACTATCTCACCATATAAGCTTCATATCATCAGCACAGTTTATGCAGCATTGTATTGCAATAACAAGAAGCAAATGCAAAAAGCAGAATCATTGACGTGCATTATTTCATGCTCATTTAGCTACATAAGATAAATGGAGAGTCTTTTGATATTTATTTATTGGATTCAAAATATAGGAAGTTGTTCTCATTCTTATCTATGGATCTATTTTATATCTCTTTATTTACTCTTGTGTCTCACCTTATTAACTGCTGGTTAGATTATTACTCATATTTGGTGCTCTTTATCTTCCTGATATCTTCCATCCTTGGGCTATTTGTTTCATTTCTTTTCCTTACTGTGCCACCTTCTCCACCACCAACTGTTCTCTGGAGCTGCCTTCGCCTTTCTTCTCCTGTTTCTCCTCCTCATCATTTTTCTTCTTTTCTTTCTCCTGCCTCTCCTCCTCCTCAACTCTGTCCTCGTGCTTATCCTTCTTCTTTTTCTTCTCCTTTTTCTTCTTTTCCTTCTCCTCCTTTTTCTTCTTCTTTTTCTCCTTCTTTCTATGCCTCTCTTCCTCATCATCGTCATCGTCATCGTCATCTTCCTCTACGTACTCTGATATGACCACATGGACGCCGGGATCCTTCGCCGCGCAGCTCCCGCAGAGAAGAATCGAGTTGTTCACGGCCTGGTAGTTGCTGTTTGTGTAGGTGCACATGCCGCCGTCGTCGCTGTACAACCCCCCATGGGCGTCCCCCAGTTCTTCCATGTCCGCCTTCATCGACGCCCCCTTGTTGTCGCCGGCCATCGTGATGACCCCGAGTCCGGGGTAGGCGTCGCCGGCCTCCTGACCCTTGGCGTCGGAGCGGGGCACGGACCTTCCCAGGGCAGTCAGCCGATCGGTGAGCGTCGAAATCATGTCTCTGATCTCCTGCTGCACGCGGCGCTGCCGCGGCTCCTCGCTGCTACCTGCGACCATGGCGATCAGCTCTGTTGGCTCTGTGAGGATGGAGGAGGTGTGGAGGATGCTTATATGCGGTGGTTCGTGGGAATGGAATGAGTTCTTAGCTTGCTTGGAGAAGCTACACGGGATTGCATGGAGGGCAAGGAATGGGCTAAAGAGATTCCAGTCATGGTAGTGGAGGGTAAGAAATCCTTGGATTGCTAGCTTTTAGGTTGAGCTGCAGAGTACGTGAACTTAGAATATTAAGGTGGTCAGAGTGGATGAAATTTATGAATATTTTACACATTGTAATTTTATTATTAAACATGATAACATTTGTTTCAATTATTTTGGCTACTCATATTTACTCATATCTATTTAAATTCAAATCAAGACAATTTTTAATTAGTTTTAGAATTAATTATAATAAAAAAACACACCGCTGAATTGATATTGGAATTCAATTTCGAATGGGATTTTTAATCGTAATTCCTACAAAAATCTGATACACCTTTCCCGCCCTTCTTGAAACCATTGATCAGCGCTCCACTTCGGTTGCACGCCCGCCTCTATAAATAGGCCACATTACCCACCCACTCACTATTCCCCTTTCTCCCCAATCTTGAAATCCTCCTCCTCGCTCCGATTGAAACCCCACATATCCGCCCTCCCTTCCTCCGTCATCGTAGCCTCTTCCTGGTCTCGGGGGGCTCTGATATCCGATTCGGGCAAATGGCGGCGATCAACTTGGTGGCCAAGTACAAGACGACGGTCAAAGAGCCCAGGGTTCCGGAGGTGCTCAAGATGGTGATCTGCCTTTCTTTCTCCTGTTGGTTCTTGATGCGTCTTCCTTCTACTAGTTTTTGATCTTTGGATGAAGTTTTTATTGTTCTTTCTGAAGCTCGTACGATGTGATTCGTAATCCCTAGCCAAGAACATGTTATTTGGAGTCGTGATGAATCGACATTTACACGGGACCGATTCATGGTGAGCTATTTTTTACAGTTTTCTTGACCCAGAATGTAAAAACGTATAAATTATCGGTATGTTGTTACTTGTGTGGACCTATTGTCTTTTAATCTAATGAAGAACTATGAGCCAATTGGGCAATCCAAGATATATTTCATTTCAAGAAAAAAAATATGTTATTGTTGAAATACCTAATGCTAATGCTGATGATCAATCTTGTTCAATTGTCTGCAGACAGAGGATGCAATTACTAGATCAGCGATGAAGCTATAAAGTGGATTTTAGGAGCACTAAGGTTACTTTCTGCTTCTCCTCTATTTCCCATTGGAAAGATTGTTTGTCTGAAATCATAATGCGAAGAGTTATTTCATGACCTAAATTCTAATTAATTACTGCCATATCAGATTCCAACACTTGCTCTTATTGGATCGTTATATGCAATAGAGAATTCCACTTTTTGTTTGATGTTGTACTGCATTTTCTTGAAAATATTATACCAAGTTCATCACATGATAATGCATGCATGTTGTACCAATGTAGCAGCTGGATGGTAGAATGAACCTAACAGAGGACATTTAACCATGATTTACTAATTTAGCTATGGTATTCAATGAACATGAACATATAGATTGTGTGTTTCCATTAATATGGATTTAATTCTACGTTGGATTTTAAAACAAAATGGAGCGTAGCATCCATTGATATATTTTCTTTTGGATGTCAAACCTGTTGCTTCTACATAATATTGTTGAAAATGTCATTAGTGTCTCATCTTTATGTCAACCAAGGTAAACAAACTAGTAGGAGTTATCAAAAACTTCTAATCACAATAGAAAATTGTGTGAAAATTAAATGGTGGCAATAAGGTTTCATTTTTTTCTGATCAAGGCAGCATTTGGAGCTGAATTGATGGTGAGTATTAATGGAGGCGGAGTGTCCTTTCGGGGTGTTGTACTTTGTTGCATCGTTTGCTATGAGTTGTGACATCATGATAGGATTCTTTATATTTTACTTATAATATTTGTGTGTTATTTGGAGAGTAGACTGCTGCTTACGTAGTCTATTGAATTAGATAAGATATTGCTATAAATTTGATTAGATTTTGACTATGATTATTAATCAATAAAAGAATTATTTTTAGTAAGATTCCTTATGAGATAACTTTGATGGGAGAATTTTTTTAATTATTTATCTTAGACTATTTTCTCGCACTTATAAATAGATAATACTTTTTTAGGATTCAATACGTGTGATAACATAATATACATGAGATTATATATCTATTATCATATGTCTTTAGTTGATATTTCATCGCTCATAGCGATCTTATAAAAGATAAAAAAAAAAAAAGAAGAAGAGTTAAGTTGATGTGAGGTGAAGCTCTTAGGACAATTATGTGTATCTTGAATAGGGTTCCTAGTAAGTCGGTTTTATTAACTTTATTTGAGTTATGGACTAATAAAAAATTCAATTTGAGATATCTACATGTTTGGAGTTATTCTACAAAGATAAGAATCTCTAATCTACATAAAAATTAGATCCAAGAATTATTTTGTATAATTTATTGATTATTCATAAAAATCCAAGGGATAAGATTTTATTATTTTAATTATAGTATGACTATAGTAGAATCTGGTAATACAATATTCCTAAAAAATGATAAAATTAATATAAGTGAAAATTTTTAAAAGATTAATTTTGATATAGAGGAGATATAGGTTGATGCTATTTTATTATTTTATATTTGAAAGATTATTGTTCCTTAAATTATTGAAGGAATTAATGAGAGTAAATAACAAAATAATATTGATGAATTCTCACGTGGTATTAATGTCATTTCTAATGATCTTGTAGGACAACTACAACCTGTAGTCTTAAAAAGATCTCAAAGAGAAAAAAGACTTATTATTTCTGATGATTATATGATTTATTTACGAAAATGAGATTATGACATACGAATCAAAATAGACTCTTATCGTTTTCACAAGTTATGAAAAGCAATGATTATGAAAAGTGTATAATGCAATGAAAGAATAGTTAAAGTGATTCTGAATCGGAACAATATCTGGAAACTCAATGAATTTCTTAATAATTGTAAAATAGTCAGTTGTAAATGATTCTTTAAAACAAAACATAACTCAAAGGACACTATTAAATAATATAAAACCAAACTTGTGGCTAAAGGTTTTTTTCAAAAAGAAATCGATTATAATGAGACCTTTTCTCTAGTTTATAAAAAAGACTAGTTGAGGATTGTCATGACATTAGTAACTCATTATGATATTGAGTTACATTAGATGAATTTGAAAATAGTATTTTTGAATAGGGATCTAGATGAAAAAATTTACATGGAATAAATTGAAAAATTCGTAGAGAAGGAAAAGAAAAGTTGAACGTGCAAACTTAAGAAATGTATTTGTGATAGTAAACAAGTTTTCAGACAATGGTATATAAAGTTTCATAATATTATTATTTTTTAGATTTAAGAAAATATTTTTGATCAATGCATATATCTAAGGTCACTGGAAATAAGTTTATTATATTGGTCTTATATGTGGATAATATTTTTTTTGTCAGTAGTGATCTTGATTTATTGCACAAAACTAAGATATTTCTTATCAATAATTTTAAGATAATTGATATAAATGAGGTAGTTTATGGTATTGATATTGAGATATATAGGGATAGATCTCAAGGATTACTAGAATTATCTAAAAAATGATATATTGATTAAGTCTTGGAGAATTTAGCATGCAACCTTATTCAGCTAATGAAACACCTATTATTATGAGTGAAAAATTCAATTAAAGCGAGTGTCTTAAGAATAACTTAGAAAATAGTCAAATGAAGGATATTCTTTATACATACGCAGTTGGAAGTTTATTATATACTCAAACAAGTACAAGATTAGATATCAGTTTTATAATTGAGATGTTAAGTGGATACCACAACAACTTAAGAATGAAAAATTGAAAAACTAAAAAGAAAGTGATGAGATATTTATAGGGGATAAAAGAATATATGCTCACATACAAAAGATCATATCAGATTGAAGTGATAAGATATTCATATATTGATTTTACGAATTATCTCGATAGTAGGAAGTTCACTTTAATATTTATATTTATGTTAGTTGGAATAATAATTTTTTGACAAAGTGTAAAACACATCATTAACAATGGAAGCTGAATTTATGGTTGCGAAATTTTATCTCAGGACCTAGTGTGATTAACTTAATTGTTAGGTCGCTAAGGATATTTTGTAATAATACCACAATAATTTTTTTTCGAAGAATGACAAGTACTTTAGTGTTTTCAAGCATATCAAGATAAAGACTTGATGATTAAAGAAAGAATCTAAAAAAAGAACTCGAGTGCCACTTTAATCATTATTGATCTATTTACTAAGGTTTTATAGCCTAAAGTGTTTAAAGAATATGTTCTTAGAATAAGACTTGTAAGCAACTCATAAGAGATATGACATTGCATGTTTAAGTGAATATTATTATTGAATTTTTTTTCTTACTTAATTAAGTTTATTTGTTTCTGTTATCCTACGTATATTTATATATAAGTATATTATAGTTGAATGTGATAACAAAATCATCTAAACAAGACAATCGTTTATGATACTTATGTATATATACATCAATATATTATTATGATAGATATTGTTCAAATTATTTATGACAATCATGCTAGGGAAAAGAAAAACTACAGAGCAACTTCTCAACTATCCGTCATAGGCCATTGACTACCTGAAATGTGACAGTGCTCTTTAGTTTTTAACATTCAGCCAAAGGATATGAGTCTCAAGTGTTAGGATCTGCCTTATCAGTATATTTTCTTAATGTAAATTTAGCTTACAAAATTTATGTCTTTTAACATTCTGAGTGTACCACGATATAGGAAAAGGGCTCCATAGTTTGTAAGTTGTTTGTCCAGAACATGTTTGTCTATCAATTCTAAGTTAGAAGGCCTCTAAACACAAATGAGAGAAGAGATGATTTATCTAAACAACGCCAATAAGCCACAAGTCCCAACATGATCAATCTAACTATTCTTATATATTTTTACATAATTGAAATTCTTTACTTTGGGAGGATAGCTTTTTTCTGTGGCAGGCAAGCAATGGCCATTATTCTCATATAGTTGCATGTTAGGCTGATGGAACGATGCTATGCAACCCACTGGGTTTTTACAAAGTTAAATATCTTCAATGACATGATAAATTATCTTGTTTAGCATTATGAATCGTTTGTAAATGTACTAAAATATTCATACAAGACAAGCTGATGGGAGACCATTAATTTGGGGAAATTGATCAGTCTATATCTTAGTGAAACAGTTTGGTCCTTCTCCATGCCTAAACGCTTGATCTTTTCCAGTATTAGTTCTATATCTGTTTGATACCATTTCCACATGCCCTTGTGGAAATTCCAAGAAATTTATGTCTTTTAATATTCTGAGTATACCACAATACAGGGAAAGGGCTCCGTAGTCTGTAAGTTGTTTGTCCATAACATGCTTGTCTATCAATTCTAAGTTAGAAGGCCTCTAAACACAAATGAGAGAAGAGATGATTTATCTAAACAACTCCAATAAGCCACAAGTCCCAACATGATCAATCTAACTATTCTTATATATTTTTACATAAAAGAAAACCAATCTCATGACATAACCTTGTTAAGAGAACTTATTATCTTTGTTGGTAAATCATGGAATGTGAAATCCTATTTAAGAATGCAACATCTTGTTTATATAATAAATACACTAAGTAATTTATGGAAGAAGGGTTCTTTGCTTGGAAATCTTGGAATCTCAAATCCTATTTACAAATTCATCCAAAACCCTCTGAGCATGAACCTTAATGGCTTAAGGACTAAAATAGGACTCGAAGGCAAGTATACAACTGAAAATATGCAATTTAAAATTTATCTTAAATAGTAAATATAATTATGAAGGAAAATACATCCAAAGTAGAACACTCAACCATATAGAGACTCATTTTTAGTACTGGTCAAAGTGCATTCATGGTGATGGTTTAGAGTCTAGCTGCTCTATTGGAGCAACATCAAAGAAAAAAAGAACTTTGAAGCAACTCTTACATGGAATGTTGTGGTCGGCATGATTTAGGAAGAATAAGTCATAGACTGTTAGGTTTATTCTTAGAGAGCAACATCAGCATCCTATTGCATCGGACAATTTATATTTGTCACACACAACATCTTTTATGTCAAAAGTAGAAACAAAACATATATTGTTGGAAAATAACATGCAGGAGTAGAACATATATTATTTCATAGAAGTTGTTAGCCAAATTAATATTATGTAAATCGGCAATGCTGAGGTTCTGTTCAAGTATCAAAGTTAAGTTATTTACAATAGACAATGCATATTTCTTTACTTTTCTATGGACCGCATTATATGATTTTATCCTATTTCTTGTGTGATTTTTCAAGTCATAAATTTGCTAAAGATGGCTCAAAGTCATCATTGTTAAATCTTACACTAGATTCTGAAAAAGGTGTTGTTATTATCATGTACTAACCGTCATCTCAGCGATTCTCTAATCTGATACTTGATGTGGGCAGAACAAGAGTTTGTAGAATTTTGTGTTTGAGCATGCATGCAAGACACCACTGTTTGGATTCTCTAAAATGGTGAACTTCTAGCACTTTCCATGGTTCATGTATTATTTCCTACTTCACTTGTTTTTTTTCACTTTTTTTCCCAGAGGGAGGCTACATTTTTTGAGTTTAATGGTTTCACTGATCACAATGTTTGTTCAGATTTTGTAGGTACATTTCGTTGTCAGCTTTTTCATTAAAAGTAGTTCTTACTGCCCCTATAGATTGGTTAATTAACTATGGTATTTAAAGTAATTAAGTTGTTCAGTCACCTAGTTTCTGTTGATAATTAACATGTTGGACTTAAAAATCTTTTTCTTATGGGGTGATGCTTTAGAAGATTATTGATTAACTTGATAGAGAATCACATCATCTTATATGTGCACATGTATTTTTTGTGTATATGTCTAGTTAGTACTTATAAGAAGGACTAAGGATTCAAAGAGACGAATGTAAGAGACAACGTTATATTTTATAGGATAAAAAGAAGTCGTAGAAACTCCTTTTGTCTCTTGGTATATTGTTTGATGAGACATTAGTTTTATGTTTGTTGGTTTCCTATAGGTAGGTACGGGAAACATTGTTTTTTCTGTTTGTGAAATGCTAGGTAGATTCCATCTTTCATCACTTGGTTTGATGTGTATCACATTGGCCTGTTAAGGAAATTAATTGCTTGCATGCTAATGACAGTTGGTCACCAGTTAAGTGCCAAAGAGTCTACCCTGCTTCAGGATGCTTGAATTCTGTCATTAATATTTAGTCAAATGACTTGCTTTGCAGAGCTTCGATTAAGCAAAATGTTTAAATTAGTGCCCAAACAAAATGATTAAGCAGCCTTTGAGAAATCTGTTGTTTCAATCGAACAACTTAGCTGTCCAGAGAGGGAGGGAGCAAAGAATGAAGTTGCGAGAAGACGGGTAACGATAATCTTATGATATGAATTTTTCATTATCTTGTTGGCAACATAGAAGATTTTATAACCTCTCATTGTTTACCTCTTTTAGTGTGATTTTTTGGATCACTTGTGACGTTTAACCTTCTCTTGATGCATGTACCTTGAGAATAACAGGACCTCAGTAGCTTTGCTCAATAAATATAATCATTTAATGTTTGTTTTAATTTATTAATCAAAAGCTGGAATAGCTCAGTTGGTTAGAGCGTGTGGCTGTTAACCACAAGGTCGGAGGTTCAAGCCCTCCTTCTAGCGTTGAATACAAGTTTTATATTTCTCTTTTCTTTGAAAAACTTATATATAATCAAAACATTGTGATGATTTTTTTTATCATATTTGTACAATAGTTCTCGATGATAATTTGTGATATATTCTCTACAGCCAAAGTTGGGTTAATCTATTTCACATCCTGGTGCAACCTCAATTTATGTGTTAATTTGTATGGCATCTATATGGTTTCGGCATAAGTTAATTGTCTTGCTCTGCTGATTTTAGTTTTTCTTAAGAACCTGGATTTAATTTAGTATGTCACTTTGTTGCTTTTGACGGACCTGTTTAGTTTAGTTTGCTTTACGGCTGTCGTTCACTGTTTACGAGGACAAGAGAAAAGGGATGTCGTTATGTGATTGCCTCATAACACTTCTTCAACTGGTTTTGGAATTAATTATATCCATAGAAATTAACTTCTATGGATAGAGGTTGATACAGTCACTTACTTTTTGTTCCCTTAAACTGCAACCTCATTTGGCAAAAAAAATCTGAAAAAAAGAATAAACCGTTTTACTTATGATTCACTTAATTGTTCATTTGGTGGTGTTAGTAATTAGCAAATGTTTATTTATTGTAACTACTAAGGTGCTTTCTTCCTTCAAGATTTGTTTGACAAGTTTAAAAATGTGGGTTCGACTTATCTATTTTTAAATGTGATCATCTATCCTTTATCCATTTTCATGACCTCATATTGAGGAAGATGTTATTTATAATTGGTAATTTCGTTGTTCATGTTCTGATTCTACTCTTTTACAACTTGCGAACTCGTATAATAGTTTCTCAGGCAATTGAGTCACACGGTTGGATTTCAACCCCATCGATGTCGGTGATTCACTCGCATTCATGTTTGCTCAATGAATCACTACACATATCGAAAGCGACCAATGCATCTACAGTAAAATCGTAAACTTTCACCATAGGAACATCGGAGCAAGGTTCGCAATATCGTACCGTACCAGTATTTCGATCTGGGCTCGGTACCGATACGGTACGGTATACCGAACGGTACACTCAGGTGTGTCGAGTACTGTAGCACTGTTATAGTGCTACAGTGCACTCGGACCGATAACAAGCGGTCCGCGTACCGACAATCGATCGAATCGGTACGTACCATCCGTATCGGACGGTACAGTTCGGTACTGTAGACCCTGCATCGAAGATCATTTAATAGAGAGATTAGCATATGATGTATAGTGATTTAGACCAATAAAGAACTGAATCCTTAGCTCAGTCATCGCTCCTTAAAAAGGAAGACTACGACCAACAACATAATTAACCTATGGATTTCTATGCCGGAGAAGACCATAAATTGGGCTTCCGTGATGACCTAAAGGACTAAGAGACGAATAAGCTCATGCTTTGATGCTAGGTAGGGTCTGAAGGGTTGCAAACGTTTGTCGTGCAGATTATGGTCTTGCGACAGTTTACGAATATATATAATGAATACTATGTCTCCTTTTTGTTTCAAAAAAAAAAAGAAAATCAGTTAAAATAAAGCTAAACGACAACCAGACACAACTCGTTTTCATGTCATCCAAAATGTAGTCACATTATGATCTATCATGATTTTGATAGATAAAATAGATAAAAAATAGATAAAATAAATAAAAAAATAGATCAATTATGATCTAAATCAAATCACTTTTTTTTTATTCCTATACATGGGATTCCTTCAAAACCTGAGAATATTCTCTTCTTTTTTTTTACACAATTCTTAAGACAATTTCATATTTCTTTCATCTTCCTATAAACGCACTAATTTTTTTTTTGTGCGGACCAAAAGGAATAATGACGTTGGATTATACCAAGTCAAAAATCAAGTGGATATATATATATATATATATATATATATATATATATATATATATATATATATATATATATATATATATATATATATATATATATATATATAGGGACAAAAGTTCTCAAGAAAGTTCAGTGTT